GTATTCTCTTGCTATAATCAACATTATTATGTTACATTCAGTCTGACAGGGTTCACCAGACCAGGCCCCTAGATTGCAGGAAAATTTTCCTGATTCAGGAAAAAAACAGACCCCGTTGGCGGGCCGGTCCTGATTGCGTAGGGTTTTTTTTTTTCGGCATCCTGTTTTTTCAGCGGTTTTTTTGTAGTGAACTCTGATCACTCCGCATGGTTTATGTAGCGCGTCCTGAAATTTCTGACACTCTAATGCGTACGCGTCCTGATTTTGTCAATACCGGGATTTGCGCTCCCCGCTCTCCCCCCCCCCCCCCCCCCCCCCCTTCCCCCCACGTGTTTCCCTCAAATCATGTCAAGGTCCCTGAAATTTCGCCCAAGTTACCGACCAGCCGAGTCATATGCTGCCCAGCTCACTGCACGGTGACAACTGATTGGCTTAGGGCGGAACCTACAGCACAGCTGTATACTGAAGGCATCGATGTTGCACGATCTGATTGGTGCTAAGGCAAATGTGGTATCGTCAGCCAGTAACAAAGCCTACCGTTGCGCCAGCACACTGGTGCTGTCATGCAGAGCGGGTGACAATGAAGCAACAGATGCATGCATTGCGCTGGCCTCTCGAATGAAGGCCAGATGCAGCCCCATTGTCGTCTCTCCATTCGAGTCGAATCGCGCCCCCCTTTCTTGTCGAGGTCATTCTTACGTTGGGGCAAAATTGCCCCTCTCACTGACTCGTTGCCTAGCTTTCTTCTCAGTCTCACCTGTCGTGCAAGAAGCCCTCCATCGTCTCTCTCACGTTGATCGCTCTACTGCCCCCCACGTCGCCATGGCTGACGCCGGCGACGAGGCTCCTGAGGACGATGCTGACGGCCATGTCGCAGCTATGGCCGATGCTCGATCAGGGCTAGACATGCTACTGTCTAGCCTGTCTTCGCTACGCAGCAATCCTAGGGCAGTAGAGGCCCGTGTAGCACCCACCACCATCAATGGAAGAGCGGGCATCCTTACGATGCCCGCAGTCAGAAATACCCCACCCGCAGTAGCGCGACTGCAGCCGATCCACCCAGCGAACGCTTCCTCCCCAGAGGCTGTGCAAGCAATGCCACCTGGCTGCTGGAGTCTTCCCGTTCCGGTTCATGCTGCAGAAATTTCGGTACCTGGTCCGTCGACGTTCCAACCCGCAGACAGCGCCTCTCCAGCGGCTGTCCCGCCAAAGTCTGCCGCGCGTGTGAGTCGAGACAGCACAGTCCCCGTTGCCGAATCCCCGCCCCCAGCTGTACCCGGGCCGTCGTCTACTCAGCCCGCTTACGACTCCTCTCCTGCGTCTGTCTCTCAGCGGCCTTGTGGGCGCTACCGGCAGGCTGTTCTGCCATTTGGTCAGCCCAAAGTGAAACAGCCATCACCGCCCGATGAAGAAGCTGCCGACGCCGACGATGTTGACGACACCCCAAACAGGTCGTCGACCAAGACAACGAGTTCTGAGGAGCAGTATGCGGAGGCTCACAGCAGGTTTAAGACCCGTTGGTCGACGCGATTCCCGTGGCTTGTCATTTTAAAGACTGACTCTGGCTTGCCTGCCTTTAAGTGCACCCTATGCTTGGAGCACGCAGGTCTTTCTGGGAAGGCTGGCAAGCGTGGCCCAGGCCTATGCGATGCTCAGACTCAGGCGTTCACACGACATGCGGGGTCCGGCAAGCACCAACTCGCTCTGCAGAAGCAGAACGATCTGCTGCAACAGGCAACCAGACAACAACGCATCGATCAACATCCCCTTGCCGGGGACCTTGAGAGGGAGCGCGTCACTGCCCTGCTGGACGCCTTGTGGTTCTGCTGCAAGACTAACGAGCCGGCCGAGACATGGATCCGGCTCGTTCAGTACCTGGCGTCGCGGAAGGTGACGGGTTTCCCGCAGCAGGCCTACGGCACGTACTACAACACGTGAGTATACAATCATCACCGCTTAGCTACGGACTTCATTCTGTTAATGCCCTCTATGTTCTCTGATTATTTAGACCCTCCGATTAGTGCGCGTCTTAGGTTGCACGTCGTACTTACAGTGTGTGTTAGTCCATGTGAACCGTGCAGGTACGGATTCGGCGAATTCACACTAGCAACGGCAACCTGGCTCCAAACAACGCAGCTTCACCACCTTCTGTCGAGTCCTTACATCGGCCTCATGCTGGACGAGAGCACCGACCGCTGCCGAGGGAAGCACTTGATTGTGTACGCCCACTTCATCCGTGACAACCGGCTGGTGTGCGAGTACCTGGCCTTGCTGACGGTGGACAAAGCCGATGCGTCTTCACTGCTCGCCCTACTGCTTACCCACCTGAACGCCATTGGGGTGGATCTCCAGCGAGTCTCCGGGATCAGCACTGATGGGGCGGCTGTCATGATGGGGTCGAAGAGTGGGCTTGTTACTCGACTGCGCCAGCAAGTGCCTCACCTTGTGTCGTGTCACTGTATTGCGCATAGGTAAGATATGTCATCCTGAGTACAAGAGTTAACGCCGTCTTCAACTTTGCTTGCAATATGCTAATGTATTGGTTTCACGTTTTGTCATGCAGGGAGGCTTTGGCAGCCAAGGCAGCATCAGAGGCGCTTCCGGTGTTTCAAATTGTGGATGACTTCATCAAGGAGCTGGCGGAGTACTTCGGAAGATCCGGCCCGTGGCACCAGCGCTTTCTCGACTTGCAAGACCTGTTCCTCTCGACAACCTTGGAGCTCCAGGGTATTCACAACATTCGATGGTTGTCGAGAGGGGAGGCAATCTCGAGGTTGCTGGCGGTGTTGCCTGCGCTTGTGGTTATGCTCAAAGAGTTCCCCGACAACAGGCTCTACAGAATTGCGACCAGTTACCGCTTCTGGTTCTTCGTCCACTTCCTTGCTGACGTCCTCGAGCAGCTCAACATCCTCAACAAGGGCTTTCAGGAGCGCGAGGTGAGATAACAATTGCATTAGCGTGGTGGTATACTTGCGGACGTCACTTTATATTGTTGTCCTACCTTGCTTGCCCCCGACCTTCCCCCATCCCCCCATCAGCTGGACTACCTGACCGTCCACGCGTCCGTCCTTCGCATCACCAGCCTGTTCCTGAGCCGCTACGTCGATTGCGGGGATGAGTTCGGGGGTGGCCCGAAGGACCGTCTCACCAACTTCCTCACCCTTCATGGTCCTGGCGGTTCTCGCGAGGTCACTGTCACTGGCGTGGACTCCGACGGGAGTCTCACGAGCTTCACATTTGAGCTTCACGTTGACACGCTGCAAGGGTACCCTGGGGGAGGGAAGCATGACAACTGCGTGGTGGCTTGCATGGACCTGGCGGAAGGGATGGTGAATAACCTGAACGAGCGCCTCGGGGATCTTCGCAAGCTGGCGGGGGTAAAGCTGTTCTGCGTTTCTGCCTGGCCGAAGGACTGGGATCGGCAGGCGAGGAGGGTGCAGTGCTTGGAATGGTTCCACTCTTTGGTGGGGCTGTACAACGCGGAGCAGAGGAACGAGATCCTTCCAGGTGAACTCGTTACCATTAAACCCACCGACATGTACCATTGTACAACTGAGACTGTTGCACATGTGTTGTCTCTTTCTCTCAGTTGACTGTCTCCACCATAACCTTACACCACTCCCCCGACCTCTTTTCCCGTCTGTGGCAGGCATCGACAAGCGCCAAGCACTGCGGGAGTTGCCACACTTCACCCCGATCCTTGCTGCACTTCCGAAGAGCGAAAAAAGCTTCCACGCTGGCCTCACTGCGATGCTGAAGACAGCAGACTGGCAAGATGCCTACCCCAACCTCATGAAGCTGTGGGTGGCAGTGGCCGTGCTTCCGCTGAGCACGGTGGAATGTGAGCGGGGATTCTCACGACAGAATGTCATCAAGTCGTGGCTGCGGGGCAGCCTGAAGGACACACGGCTGAGCGATCTCATGTGCATCAGTCTGCTCGATTATGAGCCAAACTGGGACGAGGTGGTGGATGTGTGGCGGGCATACAAAAAGAGAAAGCCTTTCAGTACCGTGGCACAACCTAGGCTGCTCAGGAACAAGGGAAAGGAGGTGGTGGAGGAGGGACCTGTAGAAGTGTCGTCGACCATGGATTTTGCCATGGATGAATGAGATGCTTTATAAGTCTTAAATATGAATCATTGCTGGATCCGCTTTAACTACGTATTGCAAGCTTTGATGTGTGATATGATGTGATGTGATGTGATCTTCCAATGCAAAAAGCACCACGGTCATGCAGGACCCTAAATGTAAGGAACCCTGAAAAAACAGGCATCTTTTCAAAAGCTGTCCTGACTCTAAAGCTTGGTTTCCACTAGGCGTCCTGAAAATACAGGCAAAAAACGAGCGCCACCCCTGAGTCATCAGGAGGCCTCAAAACCAATCTAGGGGCCTGCACCAGACCAATCAATCGCTTCCGCAAAACGCACTACTGAAGTTCAATCCTCAACATCCTGCGGACCACATTGGATCGCTTCAAAACTGTTAAAACCAAAGGGCTGAGGGCAGCCCTGGATCGCAATTCCTGCTAGGCTACGACACTGCTTTGCAATATAAGCGACTGCAACTTTCCACTAACACTTGAAACCCTTCGACGATTCATAACCGACAGCCCATCATTCTTGCTATTGACCGATGTCATGTACTTCCTCCGTTTCTACACGCTGCACACGCGCACATCGACGTATGAAGTAATGACATGGTATAAGGTGAAATAAAATTATTCCCTGAACTTGCCGATGACGTCTGAAACTCAACGCTAACACTATGAATTTTGTTTTTGTGACAAGTAGAGACACATGCACGTTGGTAATCACCATGATTTAGGATATGATCATTATTATTTAAGAGGAGATATTATCATGAGTTCGGGGCACCAAATCGTATTGCTCTAGAACCGTTCCAGAAACGAGAGCCTCACTACTGTACCTCCCAATGATGTTCTGCCAGAGATGTCACGAGATATAGTTTAGAGCAGCGTCCTAAGAGTGTCGCTGCCATCACCCAATCCCGACTCCAGAGGTCAGGTCAATTACCGCATCGCGCGGTCAGATTTGTGATCCGGACGGAGATCATGGCGAAGTGGCCATCTGCAGGTCTGCGCGGACGGAGGAGAGTCGACTGTTACGCGCTGCACACTCTAGGCGCACGAGACGGGCGACGTTTACCACGGCCGGGTCTCGCGTTCCTCCCCGCGCCGAGATGCCCTCCCTTCCGCTCAAGCGCTGCTGTCACACCGCCGCTGCTGTGATCCTGCCTCGAATCGCGGAATCGCTTGGTGTAATCACCGCCGTCGACCATGCTTGGACACCGACGGTCGTGATTGCCTGCGGGAGATGGGCTTCGGCCCTCGCGATTGCTGCCGTTCCTCGCGTCTTCAAATAGGTCCGGCCTTACGAGCTTTCAATCATAGCGCACTGGCCGTTCGATTGCAGCGCGTACGGATCATTTCCCTCCTCGCCATTCTTCGGCAGTCCTTGCGGCTCCCTTCCCATTGATTTCGCGCCATGGCTCTCCTCCCTCCGCTGCGCCTCCGTCTCGCGCTTCTCATCGCAGCAATCGCTGCGTGCTTCGGCCCCCTCGCGACAGTATCGGGAGCGGCTCTAGCGGGTCCGTCGTGCGTGAGCGACTTCCCCCGGCTGTGCAAGTTTGTGGACGATCTGCGGCCGTCCATCCCCGAGCAGATCGACGCCAGCACGGGCGCGCCCATCCGCATCGGCGCGTACCAGATCCGCCAGGCGAGTCCCCACGCCTGGCCGCATCGCTCCCCTTCACCCGCTTTCCCCTTGCTCGCTTTCCCCTTACTAGCTTTCCCCTTTCTCGCTTTCCCCTTTCTCTTGGCGCTTCCCATCACTAACCCCCTTACGCCTACCCCTTATGCCCACCCCTTGTGCCCCTCCTCCCTCCCGCCTCGCCAGAAGCTGCACCGCGACCTGCCGCCCACCAAGCTGTACGCTTATGGGCAGAGCGCCAGCAGCGCGCACTACCCTGGCCCCACGCTCGTGGCCAAACGGGGCGTGCCCACCCAGGTACCGCTGCTGCTGCTCTGCTCTTTATCGCACTTCCTCTCCCGGTGTGCTGCTGCATATTGCATATTGCATATTGCATATTGCATATTGCATATTGCATATTGCATATTGCATATTGCTGGTTGCTGGTTGCACTTGTTCTGACCTGGTGACCTCAAGCCCCGCTCATCTCTCTCCTACGACACGTCAGTCAGTCAGTTGTTGTCAAGCGACCACCTCTTACAATTATTTCCTGCTTGAAGAGGATTGGCTGCAGGTGTCCGCTGCGATGACTCTTATCTTCCTTCTTCTCTTCCCTTCCTTCGTCTCTGCCCTTCCTTTCTTCTCTGCCCTTTTCTTCCTTCTCGCCCTGCCAGGTGTACTGGGAGAACCACCTCACGGACCGCCACCACATGTTCCCGGTGGACTACACCTTGGGGGACGTGGCTCGTCCACTGCTAGGCGGCATCCCCATAGGTCAGTGCCACTCGCTGATTGCTCTTTGTGTCTATGTGTGCCGCCGTGCTTGTAGTCCATTTCTAAGTTGCACTAAACGCTCGAAATCCGCAGCGTTTGTCGTATATACGCTACGTATATACGCTATACGCTATACGAGCGTATAAACGCTATACGCTCCGCTGAAATTTCGGGGGCAGCCCGTCGAAAAAAACCCAAAAAAACCGATCGCCACTTCGCGACGTGACGAAGCCAGCCACACTATCGCGAAATGTCGAGACCCCAACTTTTCGCCCAAAACCAACTTCCAACCAATCTGCCCCCCCCAACCGCACTGCACCCCAAGGCATCTACCTAACCCAACCAAGCACACTATACCTACACCAGATCTCGTAACCTACCAGCCGCGTTAGACGGCAGATTAAGCTACGATCTAACCTTAGGGAGCACCGTGTCGAGTCGTTTTTTAGGCAGCGCAATGTCGACCCCTCAGGATCCTCCTGTCGTAGCAGCTTCCGAGTCGTCTAACAAGTACGCACCTGATAGTACTCATGAGGTTAGCCATACGCGTTTAATGCAACTTAGGTCCATTTCGCCTGCTGCTGACCTGATTCGATGCATGTGCAAGTGCTCGTTTTTTTCTCCAACTTTTTTACATGGTCCAAACCATCAGCAGCCGTTGCTGCCCCACACACATGCGCATACACGAGGCCGCAAGCTTGACCCTTTCCTCCTTTCCCTCCCCTCTCCCTCCACCCCCCCAGTGACCCACCGGCACGGGGGCGAGCAGGCGTCCTTCTCGGACGGGCATCCCGAGGCGTGGTTCACGCAGTACAGCGAGGTGGGGCCCGCCTTCCGCACGCGTCTGTACCGGTACCCCAACCACCAGCTGCCCGCCACGCTGTGGTACCACGACCACGCCATCGGCATCACCCGTCTCAACGTGGCGGCCGGCCTTGCTGGCTTCTTCATCCTCACGGACCTTAGGGGCGTCGAGAGAACCCTGGGGTGGCTGCCCACTGGGGAGTTCTGTGTGCCACTGGCGCTGTCGGACCGGCGGTTCTACGCCAACGGGTCCATTGACTACCCCACCGAGGGGGTGCTGCCCCGCGTGCACCCGCACTGGGTGCCGGAGTACATTGGCGACACCATCCTCGTCACTGGCAAGGTAAGCTGCGCTTTTCAGATATTCTTGACCCCCGTCTCCATTCTGTAAGTTCCCTCCCCTTAACTGTATGATTTCTCCGTCCCCACTCCCCCGTCTCCCCTCCCCCAGGTGTGGCCGTACCTGAACGTGAGGAGGGCGCTCTACCGCTTCCGAGTGCTGGGAGCGGCCAACACGCGCTTCTTCAACCTGCGCTTCGTGTGCGCCACCAAGCGCAACTACCCCGACTTCACTCCCCCTTTCACCGGGGACCAGCTGCCCATCATTGTGGTGCGTGCATGCTTGTGTGCCAGGGCTATGGCGTAGGCTTTCTGTGTAAATAGGCTTGCTGATCGCTGATGCCAAGCATCCCATTCGCTGATCGCTCGCACTCGATTATCCCCAAACTTCTACCGCCTTGCCCCCTCTGCCCCCTTCCTCTCTCCTTCCCACCCACCAGATCGGCTCCGACGGCGGGTACCTGCCACGCCCCGCCACAGTGACCTCGCTGCTGGTATCCCCCGGGCAGCGCTACGACATCCTCGTCGACTTCTCCTCGCTTCGCTCCTCCTGCGCTGACGTCATCCTCACCAACGACGCCCCCTCGCCCTTCCCTGCGGGCGAGCCGGTGACAAACGACACGGCGGTGGTGATGCGCTTCATCGTTGATATGAAGAGCGACGTGCTGCCCGCGCCGACTATTCCCAGGAGGCTCGTGGTGAGTGGCCCATTGCTACAAGCCTGTATTGTCTGCAGCCACAACGATTTCCGTTCCCTTCCCTGCGGGCGACCTTGTGGGCAGTGGCATGGGAGTGGTGATGTGCGTTTGATTATGTGAGACCCGAAACTTTGTTCTGCTGTTTGCCTCCCCTGTTCCTAAGTTTGTGCTACTGAGAGGTGGGTCGTTTTTGCTAAGCTTAGATCCGTCTCTTCTACTTACAACATGTTCTCTCAATCTGTCCCCGCTCCAATCTTGTTTAACCCTGCCACTCACCCTGCCTCAAGCCTGCCCATCCAACTCACTCATTAACAAGCTCTTCCACCTACCCACCACACCCCTTCCCGGGTCCCTGTGCGCCCACCCCCCCTGTGTGTGCCGTCAATTGGTGCGGCCCTCCTGTGCAGTCGGTGCCCCCCATCAGCACTTCGCAGGTGGTGTTGGAGCGGTGGATCACAGCTGTGGAGATCACGGACCCCGCCACTGGGCTGCCCATCCGCCTGGAGCTCGGTGGAAGGCTCTACAGCGACCCGCCCACTGAGACGCCCAGGGAGGTGAGTGGCAGAGGGGAATGGAGGGGGAGAGCGTGATAGGGAGGAGGTTGGAGAGTGAGTCCATTGGGGGGTGGGTGAGTGGCTGGGGCATTCTGCTCTCACTGCATGAACTGTCGCGTCAAGCGCTGATCAAGTGCTAGTGCCACCTGTCCCCTGAAACGCCCAGGGAGGAGAATAGCTAAGTGGGACAGGGGGGAAGAGTGACAGGGAGAGTGAGAGTATCGCCACAAGCCGAGACGCCCAATGCGTCCACCTGCCCCTACCTCCACCCCTTGAGTGTTGTCCTTGTCTATCTGCCCTGCCCTATGTCCCATGAGCAAAACTCGGAGGAGCAGTGCCACCTATCTGCACCATGCCTGGTGCCACCTATCTGCACCATGCCCGGTGCCCATCCCATTAGTGTCTCTTTGCCTCGTTGCGATTGTATCTATGTGTTATATCTCACAGTGAACCGGAGGACCTGTGGCACGAATACTTGGCCTTCACCCACCCGTCCTCGTTGTGACCCCACAGGGCTCGGAGGAGCTGTGGCATCTTCTCGATGCCCATACCTTGAATATCTGACCTTCACCCACCCCTCTTCTACTTCTCTTCCCTTCTCATTGCACCCCACAGGGCTCGGAGGAGCTGTGGCATGTGATCAACACGACGCCCGACGCCCATCCCATCCACCTGCACCTCATTCAGCACCGCCCCGTCTCGCGCCGCCCCTACGACGTGGCGGCTTTCACCAGCGGCGTGTGCTCCTTCACCAACGCGTCCCTGCCGTCATGCTTCACGGGCAGGGCGCAGCGCGTGGGGGCGTATGAGAGGGGCTGGAAGGACACCACCATCCTGCCGCCCGGGACAGTGCTCACGCTCTGGACGCCCTGGTACTCCCAGGTAAAGGACTCCCTCCCATCTCACTCCCATCTTACTCCCATCTCATTTATCGCGCTGGTGCTTGCTTTGCGGCGCTACTTCTTCTGTCTGCTGAACGACTGCTGCTGTCTGTGTCTGTTGTGTGTCTGTGCATGCGTACGTGTGAACCCATGCAGGATGGTACGCCCTTCCCGTTCGACCCCACGCGTGGCCCCGGGTATGTGTGGCACTGCCACATTCTGGAGCACGAGGATAATGAGATGATGCGCCCGCTCATCATCACCAAGTGACGTATCCTCCCAGAGTGAAATGGCACTTCGGAATGCCATGGCCCATTAATGATGGTTGCAGCTTCTCCTCATTCCCTAGTGCTGCAATAAGGGCTTGGTTGGTACCGTATTCCCCCGTATAAAGCACCCTAGGGTGGTAACCAAAATGCCTCTAAATTTTGAGGAGGGTGTAATTAGAGGCTAATTTTGTATAACGCCTGGGTGTTGTGGAACATGCGTATGTGATATTGTTTTTCCTAAACAAAGTGTTGGAAATATCTCAAAGGACTTACGCGTTTCTGAAGTGTAACGCTACACTCGAGGAAGATCGCAACGGGTACGCGAGTCAACGGAGGTTACACGAGGGGGCGGACAAAGAACGAGAAGGGACTCGAAGAGTCGCAACAGGAGGTTGCGACTGACCGTTACAACAGCGCGGATGGTAACCGAAGCGACAATCGAGTCGCTGTGCGACTCGATAACCGCTCCTGCAACTGTATTCTACAACTGCTTTCTTATTTTCTATATATTGCTGTATGCTTGTTTCTTTAATCAATCACTTGTTCTCATATACTAGTACAAGGGTTCAACTGCCTCAACTTTCGCTGCACTACTCAAGTCCTTTACAACTGGGACTTAGTCTCTGGAAAGATCCTAAGGGCTTTTCTCAGCCCAACATGGTATGAGAGCTGGTCAGAGACCAAACTCCCAGCAACTACGATCTACCTACAATCTGCAATTCAACGACTTCATTAATTACAAGCCATGGACAGCAAGGGCAAGAAGACCTCTACGAGCTCACCCAGCGCCCAAGACATTCAACCCGGCAACTCTGGATTACATACTTCAGGACTGCAAACCGAGACCAGCGCTGCTCAAGAAACAACAGGAAGAGCACCGGAAATGGTGACCCCATCACCCTCTTCAAGCGTGGATCCGAACTTTATGGAAAGGTTCTTCAGCTTCATGTCGCACTTTGACCAGCAGCAGCAGACAAGGACACCTGCGCATTCAAGACAGAGCAACGGAGGAAACATGGGATTAGCGCCGATGAGCCTCGACAATTCATCGTTCAAGCGACACAATCAAGCGCCTACCTTTGCGCCTTATCACTCTTTACCGGGGACGTTCGAGTTCATGCCGCCCCGTGCCCAACCAACAGCAGCTGCATCACAACAAACACCAAACGAGATTTTAAGTCTCCAGGCGCAGTTTTCACACGTGATTAAACTGCAGACATCATTACCATTCAACGGACATGATTTCTTTACCTGGAGTTTTGAGTTCGAGCTGCTGACGGAGGCTGCGCATCTCTTGGGATACTTCAACGGGTCCCTGCCATTCCCAAGCAACGGCACTGCAAAAGAGCAACAAATATTTACTTATCAGTCGCTGCTGGCGTACACAGTTCTCCTGCGGAACCTGTCACCACAAGAACAGCAGAGCATCAGAACATATCGGAGCTATGGAAACTCCGCGGAACTCGCATGGCATCATCTCAAGTGTCTGTATCAAGCAAACGACAGCGTGACACAAAGCAGACTCATGCAACAACTGACAACAATACAGATGAAGACCGGGGAAAAGGCGATGCAGTATATGAGTCGCTGCCAGACACTCCGCGACCGCCTGCTTCGGTGCGGAGGAACAATCACTGAGGAAAGCTTCGTGACGCTTGTCCTTGCCGGGCTCGGACCAGAATGGAGAACCACACGCTCGCTTCTTCGCGCCCACGGAAGGATCTCGGAGATGCATCTCTGCGCCGAGCTTCACGCTGAACAACATGAGATGGACCTGTTCGAAGAAAGACAACCAAGGAAGCAGCAGCAGTTAGTTTTCTACACTCAACGAAGGAACGGCAACAACTACAATCGACGTGGCACGCAAGATCAACGCGACAACAGAGGACTCACCTTCGTGCCGCCGTTCTGCCACAAGTGTCAGACTTCCGGACATTCCAAAGTCCACTGCACACGTCCTCGTGTTTATCGTCCAGTAGACCCACACGTCGCCTCCACTCAAGAAAGCCCTCCAAGGCGCTCCTGCACATCTGCACAAGGGACACCGAACATCATTAACTGCATGGTACACATTGACAACTGTACACCCGGATCACCACCCACCTACGCACCAGATGAAGAAGAACTTCCGCCGCCGCGCTCACAAGGACTTCAGGTCAACCCGACATACGCTGCGGTCGCCAACGCCGAACCCACCGGGCGAAATACGTGGTTCTTAGACAGCTGCTGCGGTCAACACATGTGTTCTTCCGGACGCTTCGTGCAACGAGAGCGACGCCTCAACCGCGACGTCATCATCACCGTCGCCAACAACGAGAACCTGAAGACAAACAGACAAGGCGTGGTTCAGTTACAATCCATGGAGACAAATGTTATACTTCAACTCAACAAGGTCCTCATCGTCGACAACTTGGGATACAACTTACTAAGCGTAAGCCAGCTAATGGCAAAAGGGATTCACCTGGAGTGTGATTCCTACTCCAACGAGTTTGGCACTACAACCTCAAGACGCGCGATCAAGCCTTCGACGCCTTCACGACATGGCTACCCATCGCCGAACGAGAATCCGGAACCAAGCTCAAGAGCTTCCAGTCAGACGGTGCACTGGAATACCAGTCACAACGCTTCAGGACCTATCTGGCGAAAAGGGGAATCAGACGCCTGGTGTCTCTGCCCTACGCTCACCAGCAGCAGGGGGTCGCAGAACGCATGAACCGGACCTTGCAGACAACGATGCGAAAGCTACACCTGGGGATGAGACTGCCCACCACACTATGGCCTGACGCGATGACACATGCAGTCCACCTGCACAACGTGTTGTCCTCGTCATCGCTTCCCAACAACGCATCACCGCACCTGCTGTGGACACAAAAAAGGGGCAGCACAAAATTACTTCGAGTTTTCGGCTGCATGGTACAGTACAGACCCCACACAGCCCGAGCAGGACGCTTCACTCAACGAGCTCGGTGGGGACTACACCTCGGCATCGCAAAACATTTTCACGCTTGGAAAATCCTCGACATACAAGACAAAAATACAGTGGCATCACGCGATGTAATCTTCTACGAGCGACTGACGCTGCAGCATTACTTGGACAACATTGCCAACACACACGACCCCACCGACGGCTTCGCGGGCCTTCGTTCCTTCGCTGACCGTGCTGCCAAGGCTGACGCAGCAGAAGAAGACGTACCTGGAGCCTCGGAAACTGCCGGACCACTCCCTTTCTGTTCCGTACCTGTTCCACTCGACGAAGACAATCCTCTCGATAGTAACAACCTCGACACCTTTTATCACTTCGCTGACCAAGGTTACATTACACCCCAACTTCTTACCTGATCCAGAAGACGGTGACGAAGCAGCCTATTCCGGGAATGAAAATTCCCCTCGACACACACCCACGGGACTGCAGATGCTCGGCCTCTGGGTCTCCGTCCAGCATCCGCCGCCGCCATCTCCGCGCGAGCCCTCGACTTTGTCACAGGCTCTGGGGGGGGAACATAAGGCGAAATGGAAGGAGGCGATGGAAAAGGAGCTAAAGGCTCTGCAAGACCGAAATACATGAGAGCTGGTACCTGCAACAAGCATCAACGGGAAGAACGTCCTCTCGGGGAAATGGGTGTACCGCATCAAGACCAACGCGGACGGCTCCATCGAACGATTCAAAGCTCGATGGGTCGTACGAGGCTTCGATCAACGATACGGAACCGACTACACAGAAACTTTTGCCCCAGTCTCCCGTCACACCTCCTTGCGCATCCTACTCGCCGTCGCGGCCACGAAGAAACTACCACTGCGCCAAATCGACGTCGCAAATGCTTTCCTGTACGCACCTGTGGACGCCGAGATCTTCGTCGAGCAGCCCCACGGATTCATCGACGACCCTACAAAAGTATGCCAGCTGATAAAATCCCTCTACGGAATCAAACAAGCTCCACGGCTGTGGCAGCAGCATCTTCACGGCCGCCTCGTCAGAATCGGCTTCCTACAACTGCCGCACGACCAAGGCATGTATCGACTACAGAAGGAAGGAGCCTTTATCCTTCTCATCGTCTACGTTGACGACCTGCTCTACATCGGCTCCACTACCGACATCGCCACCTGGTTCGAAGGGGAGCTGAAAGAAGACTTGACACTCACGGTGTCCGACGCAGTGACCCAGTACCTGGGACTGAATGTTGTCGAAGAAAACTCAGCGTTCTACCTACACGCTGGAAAGTACGCAGGCACCGTCGCGGAGAAATTCGGTCTAACGCCGACTACGGTCCCAACTCCCTACCGCTACGGGAACAACAACAGCACCTCCGCAAAACTCCCCGCGAAGCAAATCCAGGAGTATCAACAAAAGCTCGGCTGCCTACTATTCGCAGCAGTAACCTGCCGACCCGATCTCTCTTATAGCGCGAGCCAACTGGCGACGCATCTGAAGCAGCCAGAACAAGAAGATCTCGAGGAGCTCAACCGGGCACGTGGGAGACAGGGAAAATCGACGATCGAGAACGGGCTACATCTACCAACTAGAACCTATCGGGACTATCTCCTGGCAGTCGAGCAAGCAGGAACTAATCGCACTATCTTCGGCTGAAGCAGAATATATCGCCCTCTGCACTGCGACCAAGGAAGGACTCTACCTACGAGAGTTGCTCGAGGAAGCGAAGATCGCGACCCTGCCCGTCTTCTCACTCCTCTGCGACAACCAATCTGCGATCAAAATCGCGAACAAGGACGGCTTCGCCAACCGAACCAAGCACATCGCCCTGCGGTACTTCTTCGTCAATGATGAAATCGCGAAGGGGAGACTTCAACTCAGCTACTGCCCGACGACAGAAATGGCCGTAGACTATCTGACGAAGAAATTAGCGAAAGAAAAAATCGAATACTGCACTCTGCTGACCGGGCAGACAAACGTCACCGGATCTGAACACGTCAGCACTCCAGAAACGAAGGGGAGTGTTGGAAATATCTCGAAGGACTTAAGCGTTTCTGAAGTGTAACGCTACACTCGAGGAAGATCGCAACGGGTACGCGAGTCAACGGAGGTTACACGAGGGGGCGAACAAAGAACGCGAAGGGACTCGAAGGGTCGCAACAGGAGGTTGCGACTGACCGGTACAACAGCGCGGATGGTAACCGAAGCGACAATCGAGTCGCTGTGCGACTCGATAACCGTTCCTGCAACTGTATTCTACAACTGCTTTCTTATTTTCTATATATTGCTGTATGCTTGTTTTTTTAATCAATCACTTGTTCTCATATACTAGTACAAGGGTTCAACTGCCTCAACTTCCGCTGCACTACTCAAGTCCTTTACAACTGGGACTTAGTCTCTGGAAAGATCCTAAGGGCTTTTCTCAGCCCAACTCAAAGTGCACTGTCGTACTCTTCTGTATTTTGTTTTTCCCCTCGACATCGCGTACGGAGGCATGGCACGATTTTCTTGGCGGGAAGGCGAGCGCGACCCAAAAGTCAACTAGCGAACATTTATTTTCGAGGATTCAAGGGGACACACTAGTTTGGGCAGTCAAAATGGGTCTCGAAATTTTATGTGACGCACCCCTTGAACCGCGCTGTATAGGTTCCTTGATACGGTAAGTTTCCCACTCGCTCTCCTGCTCAGGTGATGGCACAGCAGCAGTGGTTGGAAAAGAGGGTAGTGCTCGTCTATGCTACTCAAAAGCAAGGTTGAAGGTTTCGGGGGGGTGTTCAAATATTTGCAGGCAAAAAAGACGGGTGTTATGTATATCCAGTTTAATAAAGCACCCATGTCCGTTCAAGCCACCCATGGGCGTTCAATTTTGCGGGGTGCTGTATACAGGGGAATACGGTATGTGTTGTGGCAACCATGCCCATTTTGTACGGTGGTGTGGCCAGGTTGGGGATTAGTGGATTTCATAATGAAAGTCGCAAATACTCATGTGAGCAAGTATCCAGCTTATGTTACTTGCCATGAACTGCACTCTAAGCTAGGTCTTGCATTGGTGGGCAATTGGACACATTGATGTTGATGTTCACATATATGTTAGGAATATATACGATATGTATAACTACTGTAGCCTAGGTAAGCTTGCCTAGGAATAGGTGAAGCCATGAATATGGCGTGAGATCTAGATCCAGGAGGTAGGCGAGAATGTAGAGGGGTGTTGTACCCTCTACAGTAATGTTCAGTAACATCTACCAAGCCTACACTTATATAATAACTTATTTAACGAAGCTCAGTTCTTAGCTATACTCATGTACCTCATGTTGTGATATAATTGATACTTAGCATTTCTGTAAGTCGATTAAGTGTACTTAGTGTCGAATCCTACAGTAGAACATAAGTCCGTAGGATGACGTCAGCAAATAGCGCTCGTCATGAGGACAGTCGTTTCAGTCACTCGAACAGTCGCATCTCTTCATTATCATCTAGGGCGCATAGCGCGATAGAGACGAACAGGTACATTAGCGAATAGGTACTTTCCTAGAACTAAAAATCCTTGTTAGGTCTTTTCATTATCAACTTTGATTACTCACAAGTTCACGTACTCAGGTTATTCAACCTTGATTATTACGTTTTACAAGACTTCCGCTGTCTTACTAGTCTACCATTCCAGTAAAGATCCTGGACCAACACTTGAGGATTTCCAAGTGTCGTGTTTGCAGTTTTATACTTAGTCTTCTACAACATTGGACAAGTTATTTCATGGTATGAGAGCTATCTGGAATTAAGACTACTGTCAACAATGACTGGTTCATCACAAGCACCGTCTGCCGGATCAACTTCCGGAACTACTGGAGTACATGTTGTCAACTTATACATATGTTCTATGTAGAAGTTATAGGCTAGACTAGGTGTGTGCTTCTAGTGAGTACAACCCAACATGTATATATTATAGGTTTCTCCTTCTAGTAATCATTCACGTATTCTAACATGGTATCGAGTAGGTTAGGTCCCCCCGCCCGCTTCCGCCCGCGCCCTAGTCTCTCGACCGCCCTTAGCCGGCCCCCTGGCCGTCGCGTCCGCCCCTAGTTGGCCCCCTGGCCGTCGCGTCCGCCCCTAGCCGGCCCCCTGGCCGTCGCGTCCGCCCCTAGTCGGCCCCCTGGCCGTCGCGTTCGCCCCTAGCTGGCCCCCTGGCCGTCGCGTCCGCCCCTAGTCGGCCCCCTGGCTGTCGCGTCCGCCCCTAGCCGGCCCCCTGGCCGTCGCGTTCGCCCCTAGTCGGCCCCTTGACCGTCGCGTCCGCCCCTAGTCGGCCCCCTGGCTGTCGCGTCCGCCCCTAGTCGGCCCCCTGGCCGTCGCGTTCGCCCCTAGCTGGCCCCCTGGCCGTCGCATCCGCCCCTAGTCGGCCCCCTGGCCGTCGCGTTCGCCCCTAGCTGGCCCCCTGGCCGTCGCGTCCGCCCCTAGTCGGCCCCTTGGCCGTCGCGTCCGCCCCTAGCCGGCCCCCTGGCCGTCGCGTTCGCCCCTAGTCGGCCCCTTGACCGTCGCGTCCGCCCCTAGTCGGCCCCCTGGCTGTCGCGTCCGCCCCTAGTCGGCCCCCTGGCCGTCGCGTCCGCCCTCAACTGGCCCCCTGGCCGTCGCGTCCGCCCCTAGTCGGCCCCCTGGCCGTCGCGTCCGCCCCTAGCTGGCCCCCTGGCCGTCGCGTCCGCCCTCAGCTGGCCCCCTGGCCGTTCGCGCCCGCTCCTAGCTGGCCACCTGGCCGTCGCGCCCGCCCCTAGCTGGCCCCACTGGCCGTCGCGCCCGCTCCTAGCTGGCCCCCTGGCCGTCGCGTCCGCCCTCAGCTGGCCCCCTGGCCGTTCGCGCCCGCTCCTAGCCGGCCCTCTGGCCGTTCGCGCCTGCCCCTAGCTGGCCCCACTGGCCGTCGCGCCCGCTCCTGGCCGGCCCACTGACCGTCGAGCCCGCTCCTAGCCGGCCCCAGCAGCACCTGCCCGGCCTCTTCCTAGCGTCGCCCGGCCTCTCCTACCGCCCGCCAGTCCCAGTGCGCCCGCCCGGCCCCTCCTAGCGCCAGCCCGGCCCTGTCACGCCTGCCCGGTTTTCAGCGCCAGCCCGGCCCCTCCTCCTGCCCGCCCGGCCCCTCCTCGTGCCTGCTCGGCCTGCCGTGCCACCTCGGGCCCCGTGTCCTCTGCTAGCCCGCGCCGGGGCGCCCAGCAGCCGCCCTACTAGAGAGTGCTGCCGTCGTGTCCCCGTGCCGCTGTGCTCCTGCCTAGCTATGGAGCTGTGCCGTTGTGTCGCTGAGGAGCTGTGTCACTGACCCTGTACGATGGCTGACTTCGTGCTCCGCCTGGACGCTGAGGGCCACGAGGTTGACTTCGTCGCCTAGCTCTCCGATCTCCACCTTCAGCTTACAGGTCAGCGCCAGGATGGACACTCGCTGGTTGTCCATGGTGATGGCTTGCTCCCCCGCCCCCCTGCACCTGCTCCCCTCCCTGCTGACCCCACCTCCGCTGAGAGTGAGGCTTTCTCTACTGCTGCGCTTGCCTGTGCGGTCTGGGACTCACGCGATGCAGTAGTAGCTCAGGTTGCTATCAGTCTCGCCCTTTCTGTGTCAGAGCGCTCGCGTTTCGCTACAGTTGATACGGCCAAAGCTTATTTAGACGCTGTTATTGCTCACTATTCCACACCTGCATCCGCTTCTGCCAGCCGCCTGCTCTTCCCGATGCTGTTCCCAGACCTTGCTGCCTTCCCTACTGTCGCAGACTTTGCAACTCACTTGCGTGCCCTAGAGACTCGCTATAGCACTGCCAGCACTGCTGCCCAGCTCACTGCGCTCCCCCCCCCATTCTGCATGACCCTCTATTATATCGCCATGCGCCTGCCGGACCGCCTAGCTAGTGCCCGCGACTGCTTCCTTAGCCAGCACCCGGGTGACCTCACACTGACCGCCTTTGTCGACACCCTCACCGAGATCGAGACGCGCCAGCGCACGATCGCTCAGTCGAGCGGTGCGCCTGCAGTCTCTATCTTTCACGGCTGTGCCCCCCTCCCAGTGCACGTTTACCGACATTTCGGCTGCGGTCGCCACTGCGACCCCTCTTACCGAGACGGCAGCTGTGGTCCACCCGCTGCAGCGTCCGCGCAGCGATGGCCGTGGCCGCCAGGGAGGTCGTGGTGGTGGCACTAGTGATGGTGGTAGTGGTGGTGGTGACGGTAGTCCACCTGAGGGGACTACCACCGGTGGGCAGGAGCAGACGCAGTCGCCTTCGCAGCCGGAGCAGCCCCAGCAGCAGCCGCCGCCGTCCCAGCAGAAGCCGTCGCAGCCGTGGGCTCGTTTCCAACCTGGTTGGCCCGGCACCTCTGGCGGTGGTGGCCGAGGTGGTGGCCCGCGCAGCTTGGCGTCTACCGGCAATTCCAATGCTTTGACCTGCCAGTACCAGCTTCATACCGGGCCTCTCCGCAGCACTCTGTGCCGCCGCCCGCACCCGACCACCCGCTGTTTCCGCCGCCTCGATGATCTCTTTCGTCGTCGCTTTGGCCCGGCCCCGGACCTCCCCGACTGGCACAGCCTGCTTCGCCAGGGCGTGCCGATCTTTGAGTTAGATATGGATCAGATAGGTGCTGCTTTGCATGCTTTGTATGCTGACGCTTCTAGTGTTGCTGGATCTTATTACCCTGTGTACTCTAGTTTAGGTGTCTCACCCTTGTGTAGCTTAGCCTCCCCTGCTGTGTCAGGCGTAGGACTGCCTAGTTTGCCTAGCCTAGGTTCTGCACCGTCTCCGTTCACAGCCTCCGCCACTGCCTCGCTGTCCTTCACTCTCGACTTCGGTGCTTCTGCCTGTTTCTTCCGCGACCGCTCCACGCTTACGCCGCTTGCTGCGCCTGTTGTTGTCTCTCTTGCTGACCACGGGTCCCGTCGTCGCTCGCAGTTCCACATCCCTTCCTTGTCCAGCAGTTCCCTCGGGCTCTCTTACAGGCCTCCACGTTCCCTCGTTCTCGAGGAACCTGGTTGGTGTTGGCTGTCTTTAGGACCTCGGCGTCACCAGTACGTTCCCCGGGCACGAGCGGTTCGCTGTCTGTTCTGAGGCTGTCTCAGGTTCCACACTTGCTACGTTTCCCCGGGACCCGGTGTCCGGACTGTTCACCCTAGACACCGCTTCCCCCCCGGTTGGTGCGTCCTCCCAGGTCGCTGCAGCTTGCTCGTCTCAGTCTCTCACTCACCCGTCCCTTTTGT